GTAATTACCAGTACTCATCCCCAGTAATTACCAGTACTCATCCCCAGTAATTGCCAGTACTCATCCCCAGTAATTACCAGTACTCATCCCCAGTAATTGCCAGTACTCATCCCCAGTAATTACCAGTACTCATCCCCAGTAGTTGCCAGTACTCATCCCCAGTAATTACCAGTACTCATACCCAGTAATTACCAGTATTCATCGCCAGTAATTATCAGTACTCATCGCCAGTAATTATTAGTACTCATCCACAGTAATTACCAGTACTCATCCCCAGTAATTACCAGTACTCATCCCCAGTAATTACCAGTACTCATTCCAGCAATTACCAGTACTCATCCCCAGTAATTACCAGTACTCATCCCAGTAATTACCAGTATGCATCCCAGTAATTACCAGTATGCATCCCAGTAATTACCAGTACTCATCCCCAGTAATTACCAGTACTCATCCCCAGTAATTACCAGTACTCATCCCCAGTAATTACCAGTACTCATCCCCAGTAATTACCAGTACTCATACACCCAGTAATTGCCAGTACTCATCCCCAGTAATTACCAGTATCATCCCAGTAATTACCAGTACTCATCCCCAGTAATTACCAGTACTCACCCCCAGTAATTACCAGTACTCATCCTCAGAAATTACCAGTACTCATCCCCAGTAGTTACCAGTACTCATCCCCAGTAGTTACCAGTACTCATCCCCAGTAATTACCAGTACTCATCCCCAGTAATTACCAGTACTCATCCCCAGTAATTACCAGTACTCATCCCCAGTAATTGCCAGTATTCATCCCCAGTAATTGCCAGTACTCATCCCCAGTAATTACCAGTACTCATCCCCATTAATTACCAGTACTCATCCCCAGTAATTACCAGTACTCATCCCCAGTAATTACCAGTACTCATCCCCAGTAATTGCCAGTACTCATCCCCATTAATTACCAGTACTCATCCCCATTAATTACCAGTACTCATCCCCAGTAATTGCCAGTACTCATCCCCAGTAATTGCCAGTGCTCATCCCCAGTAATTACCAGTGCTCATCCCCAGTAATTGCCAGTACTCATCCCCAGTAATTACCAGTATTCATCGCCAGTAATTGCCAGTACTCATCGCCAGTAATTACTAGTACTCATCCCCATTAATTACCAGTACTCATCCCCAGTAATTACCAGTACTCATTCCAGCAATTACCAGTACTCATCCCCAGTAATTACCAGTACTCATCCCAGTAATTACCAGTATGCATCCCAGTAATTACCAGTACTCATCCCCAGTAATTACCAGTACTCATCCCCAGTAATTACCTGTACTCATCCCCAGTAATTACCAGTACTCATCCCCAGTAATTACCAGTACTCATTTCCAGTAATTGCCAGTACTCATCCCCAGTAATTACCAGTAATCCTCAGTAATTACCAGTACTCATCCCCAGCAATTACCAGTACTCATCCCAGTAATTACCAGTACTCATCCCCAGTAATTACAGTACTCATCCCCAGTAATTACCAGTACTCATCCCCAGTAATTACCAGCACTCATCCCCAGTAATTACCAGTACTCATCCCCAGCAATTACCAGTACTCATCCCCAGTAATTACTAGTACTCATCCCCAGTAATTACCAGTTTCTATCCACACAAGCTTGCTCAAGTCCTACAAAGAGGTTTATTTACCCTCTACATATGTCCTGGTGAAGTGTGGGTAGGTGCAGGATGTCAGGTGTAGTGGTGCAGAGGTAGGCGCAGGATGTCAGGTGTAGTGATGCAAAGGTAGGTGTAGAATGTCAGGTGAATGTGCTATGAGCACGGGAGTGGCTGTAAAGGCCAAACGCAGCTTCCTGTCTTTGTAAATCGACTTGCGCTAGTTTTTTCCCTTGTTTTGAGAGACTAGAGGTGCCCTAATTCTGTTCTATGGTATTGCATGTTTGGACGACTGCTGCTTCCAGCCACCTGCTCTTCCTTCTATCTTCCTTATATATTGTATTCAGCACCGTTCAACGCTGTGAATTACGCAGGTTTGTCCTGTTGAATGATGCGTGCATGGCAGTGAATTCTCTATGCACTCACCTAATTGTGGTTGCAGGGGTCGATTCATAGCTTCTGACCCCTGTGTGTTAGAAGCTTTGTACTAGTGTCATGTGCTGTTTCGCTTATCTTAGAATTTACCTCATCCTGTACATGGAGTTCGGAAGACCTCAGCTTTTAAATGTCAATGTTAAGAAATTGTTGGATCTGGTAGGATCGTGAGCGGTGGTGGACGTGAGGAACCTGACCAAGTGATACGTGCAGTTAGTTGTCTGGGTCCCACTGCACCTCACCAAATGGAGTAGGCGATTGGTTGGTGAATCCCTCGGTATGATGAAGCACACCCTTGAGCGAGACGTTGCCTAGAGTGGGGAAGAGGAATGGCGATACCAACAGTATGAATGACACGTATGCACTGCTCGGGACATTTGTTAGGGAAGTGTTTCGCCACGAGGTGGCGAAACGTATCCTCGGTGAGTGTCTTGAGCTGTGCATGTGTATCTGCCTACATGTGTCAGCCTACATAGGCCTACTGTGGTGCTTCCCTTTTCTTACATTATTCTCATGTTCTTCAAGTCTGTTATGCCTACTTCAGGGTATTGTGTCTATTAGTTCCATGTGGTCTTCTCCCTAGTAATTCCCGTTAACCCTCTTCCTCTCCCTTTCCATCTTCGGCAATCCCCAGTACATCCTACCCCTTTCAGTAGTCTCCGGTAATCTCCACGACTCCCAGTATCATCCTCCTCCTCTCCCTCCCCCTCCTTCAGTAATCCCAGCAGCCTGAGTGAGCATCCACCACTGAGCACACGTCCCAGCCATCGATTAATGGGAGTGTTGCGGCCTTCGTGTGTGTGTACTCACCTAGTTGTTGTGGTTGCAGGGGTCGAGTCACAGCTCCAGGCCCCGCCGCTTCACTGGTCGCTACTAACTGACTCTCCCTACTCCATGAGCTTTATCATACCTCTTCTTAAAGCTATGTATGGATCCTGCCTCCAATACATCACTTCCCAGACTATTCCATTTTCTGACAACTCTGTGACTGAAGAAATACTTCCTAACATCCGTGTGTGTATGTGTGTGTGTGGTGTGTGTGTGTGTGTGTGTGTGTGTGTGTGTTTGTGTGTGTGTATGTATGTTGTGTGTTTTTGTGTTTGTGTGAGTGTTGTATATATGTGTGTGGGGGGGATCGAGTTTCAGCTCCAGGCCCTGCTTCTTTGGTATTTGCCGTATCTACTCCCTCCTTGCCTTGAGGGCTCTGTCATACTCATTCTTAAAACTGCATAGAACCTGCCTCCTCAACTTCTTGGGGCAATTCATTTCACTATTACAGTCACGCTTCTCCGTGACTACAATAGTATGCAGTACCATCGTCAGCGTCTGTGGTCTAATAAAACCCAGGGCGTGGGCCAAATGTGAATTAAAGGATCGCGTTTTACCCCGTCAGAGGTTCCACAGCTTAAGGTGTCAGCATTTTCGCTGCGTCCCTGAAGGGACGGGGGCAAGAAGTACGTGCCCTGATGGTTGTCAGGGCTCTTGCATCTCGAAGCAGGAGCCCTCCATACGCTTTTAGCGTTTCCTCGTCATTACAATGATCTTCGTAGACTGTCACTCGTTTAAAAAAAAAAAAAAAGGCCATGCTGCCATGGGTGGATAAAAATATATGTCGGCCTTGAAGCAATTGGCCTCTTGTCTTGCCCCTGATGTGGCTTCTCACAGTTCTAGCTCCCTGATTATTCTCTTACCCTGACCTGATTTCCCCCTGACCTGGATACTCCATTGCGTGTTTATTATTATCCCGAGTGTCCCGGCACCTACTGCCTGATACCTACCTGACGTTCCTGTGTTGTTCTTGCGTGCTTGTTGTTCCTGGTTCATGACCTGGCTCTGTCTGGCCTTGACCTGACCTTTTCACTTCATAACAGATGAGATGTCAGAGTTTTTTTTTTTTTTTTTTTTTTTGTGTGTTGTGTGTGTGTGTGTGTGTGTGTGCTGCGCGCGCGTGTGTCTGTGTTTTTCTTTGTCGTACCATTTTTTTGTATTTGTTGTTACTGCTGTTTTTATTTTGTTTTTTCATGGAGTCTTTCTCTCTCTTTTCCCCCTGGTTTTTTTTTTTCGTTGTTGAACCCAGCTGTGCTTTGTTTACCTCTGACTCTGATACCTGTGACTAACTCAACCTGTGACCCAGATACCTGTGAATTTATCACAAACTCTAACCCTGATAAGCGTGATTCTATTTTAGACAATTTTTTGAAGAAACTTCTACACGCAGACGAACTAAGGAATGATAATTGACATTGTCATATGCCCTGCCTGTCTTCGGATCAAATTTGAATGATTCCCGTTCCTCAGGGCGCTAAATCATGACGCTAGTAATAATACTGAATGTGTTGTTCTCTTCCCTCACCTCTGCATCCATCAAACTCTGTCACTGTACTCCTGTTATGCTCCATCTAGCTAGGTCACCCTTGCCCTCCCAACAACCTACCCAGGCCATCCCATGTCTTGATTGGTAGCCTTCCATCTAGGTCGATTTCCATCGTGCTAGGTCACCTTCACGTAGATAGGTTACTCTCCATCTAGGTCGACCTCCATTTAGTTAATCACCCTCTACATAGGTTCAGCATTCCTCTTGCCTTGGTAACTCTCTCTCTCTCTCTCTCTCTCTCTCTCTCTCTCCTCTCATCCACACACAGGGTTTGACAAGGTTAAGGATTCCTAACTTTATTGACAAGCTGAGCTTTATCTACATCAGCTCATTTGAAAGCATTTTTATTGTTATGAAACATACGAGTAGGGAACAGGATGAAGTTAGAGCCATCTGTGGGCCAGCATTTTCATTTGATCAACTGACTTTATCTTGCTGAAACTATAATAATGCTGTACGAATGTGTTCCAGACTCGAGTCAGTCAGTCTCTCTCTCTTCTCTTCTCTCTCAGTTTATCTATCTATCATCTATCTCTCATTACAGAAACCTCACCGCCTCCTGCCTACAAACCTCTACGTGGTCCTCTACAACTTCACCTCCAGACATCCCGACGAGCTGGACCTCAGGTGAGTCTCAAGTGGTTAGGTGAATCTCGGGGTAATTAGGCGAGGCTCAGCTGGTTACCTGGAGTTTACCTGGAGAGAGTTCCGGGGTCAACGCCCCCGCGGCCCGGTCTGTGACCAGGCCTCCTGGTGGATCATAGCCTGATCAACCAGGCTGTTACTGTTGGCTGCACGCAAACCAACGTACGAGCCACAGCCCGGCTGGTCAGGAACCGACTTTAGGTGCTTGTCCAGTGCCAGCTTGAAGACTGCCAGGGGTCTGTTGGTAATCCCCCATATGTATGCTGGGAGGCAGTTGAACAGTCTCGGGCCCCTGACACTTATTGTATGGTCTCTTAACGTGCTAGTGACACCCCTACTTTTCATTGGGGGGATGTTGCATCGTCTGCCAAGTCTTTTGCTTTCGTAGTGAGTGATTTTCGTGTGCAAGTTCGGTACTAGTCCCTCTAGGATTTTCCAGGTTGTGAAGGCTTACTCAGCCCTGTAACAACTTCAGACAGTATTACCCAGGCTGGCTCCTCCTCAGGAAAATTAATGAATAGAAAAAGAAATAATAACAGACAAACATAAACACTTTATTATATAGAAAATATAAAATATAAAACACTTAAATATGAAATATTTATCCTACATTAAAGAAAATGAAAAATGAAAAATATAAATGATAACTGAATTCAACGCTAATTTAAAACTTGGGTGTCTGCTGTTGGGGACACTGTGTTTGTTGAATTGTAGCCGTTGCTGATGATGGGGGGGGGGGGGTCGCAGGTGTTGGTTACAACCCCCCGGTTCGTTCTTCACAGTATAGCCGTGAGTTATTATATCCCGATGACAGGAAAGCAGGTTCTTTACCACTGCAAGGGGGGGGGTTACGTCCTGCAATTTCATCAGGTGCACAGGTAATTAATTCCAAAAAGGGGAAGTCTCAGGACGTTAGTCCATCTCCATCAGTTCTACTCGTTGATTGGCAGGTGACCCTCTCTGTCATCCAAGCGGGGAAAGATAGACAGGTTACCCACTGCTTAAGAAACCCACCCCTCCATGATAAGTACAAAATAATTTACCTAAAAGGAGATGGGCTGTTTATTACAAAGTAACTTTAACCAAAACTGAAAAAGGCCAATGTTTATTCTATTGGTCAGTGAACTTTTAACCAAATCCCCTAGAATACAAAGGGGAGTGATGTCCCTTCACGGGGAGTCCTTTTGGGAGTGGGGAAAAGGGGAAATTGGGGGGGTTTGATTAACCGGAGCCCAAAAAACTTCACTTTCCCGGGGGGGAAAAAAGGGGAAATAAGCGGAGCTTGACTTGCCCTACCTTAACAAGTAGCGGCCCAATGAAACTATTGTTACTATATACTTCCCTCGCTACCCCTTTATCTATTGAACTTTTCCCTCACACTCCCCCATACCAAGACTTATAGTCAAGGAGTATAAGAAGAATAGGCGAGGAAAAAGTTCTAACATATGGAAGTCGGTAAGGCAAGAAATCTTCTACTGACTGTCACGATTTAAACCAGTCAGAAAAATTTTTACCAATATAACATGGAAATTTAAAACCCTGGAGTGCCAATGTCCACCTCAAAGGGCGACTGTTGGTTCCCTTAAAAGTATTCTAGGTATATCAAAGGTCTGGGGTTTCCGTTTCTAAAATGAATTCTTTTCCCAGCAAATAAAATTTAAGTTTGGAGATACCCCACAAAAGGGGCCAAAAACATTCCTTTTCATGGTGGAGTATCTCGTTTCTGCAGGAAGGAGTTTCCAGCTTAGGAAGCATACAGGGAAGGGAGTTACCATCATGTATTGTATTTGCACTGCACCTAAGCCAGTATTGGAGGCTTTCAGTTTTAAACAAAATGTTTTATTAATATCTGGAAAATCTTAAGTTTAGGGTCTTTCGAAAAAGATACTTTTAATCTCATTAAACTTTTCCCGAGCTACGTCGGAAAGTTCAAGAGGTTCCTTCACAGACTTTTTAAGGAAGTCGGATAAGATGTCTGTAAGATCAGTAAGGTTCGGGATGAACTGTGCATAAAAATTTACAGAACCAAGAAAGCTACGCATGAGCTTCTTGGTTTTGGGGAATTTAAATTCTAATAAAGCTTTGATCTTACTGGGGAGAGGCTGCAGAGAGTTATTAGAAAGTATCAGTCCAAGATATCTAATCTTGTTATACCCAAGGAAGCATTTCTTCGGCTTGGCAGTGAGGCCATGTGAGCGTAACCTACGCAAAACTGATGTTAATGTTCGTTCCACGTGGATGTCATTACGTAAATGTTATCAAAATAAACTGAAACATTTGGCATATTACCCAAGACCTTTCTCATCAGTCTCACGTAGGTAGCACAGGCAGTTACCAAAACGAAGGGCATAGTTCTATATTGCATCAGTTCTTGGTGTGTAGGAAAAGCGGTGTACTGCTTAGAAGAAGGATCTAACATTACTTGATGATATGCCTGCGCAATATCAATCTCTGAAAGGAAGGAAGAGTCATAAAATTTGTGTAGATCGCTATCTATTAAAGGCATAGGCTCAGCATCCCACCGAGTTATAGCATTAAGGCCTCTGAAGTCAATAGCAAGTCTATATGAATTATCCTCCTTCTTAACCATGACTACTGGTGAACAATATGAAGATACTGAAGGTTCAATGATCTTTAGTTTTAATAATTTGTCTACCTCTCGGTCAAATGCATCCTAAGGTGAACTGGAACTGGGTATAATTTCGTTTTGATAGGATTGTCCGTCACTAAGTCAATCTTAGGACTACCGTGGAGGTAACACCTGGAATATCAGTAAAGACTTCTGAAAAGTTACTCACACATTGAAGTAGTTCATGTCTCTTATGGTCATCCAAAGATTCATTAATATTAATGTTGGTTGCGTCCGAGTGGTCAAGAGTCACCAAGTCATGTAGTTCTTCATCATAGTCTAAGTTAGAGGTGTCAATTACGCACACCTTACATTCTTCAGTTGTCGTATCAAGTTCGTGTGGAAAAACTAAGTCAAAGTTATTAAGACAGTTAACCGAATTTCTTCGGTAATATTTCTTAAGGATGTTGATATGATAAAGCTTAGGTTTCCCCTTGACTTCTATGAGGTAGTCAACTTTCCCACAAATTTTTAATACTTTATATGGACCTTTCCATGCTACTAATAATTTATTTGACTTGATCGGCAAAAGTACAAGAACTTCATCCCCTACTTTAAAACTTCTCCTCTGACTTTTGGAATCAAAATAGGTTTTGTACTGGTCCATTGACAAGCTTAGGTCTCCTCAAGTTTGGATCTAAGGTCAAGGAGAAACTGGTAAGAAGACTGAACCTCAGCACTCACCTCCTCATTAGTCCATAAGTCATGAAGGATGGACAATGGGCCTCTGGCCTGTCTACCATAGAGAAGTTCAAAAGGTGAAAACCCCAAAGAGTCACTGGGAACTTCCCTCATGGCAAACAAAGCACAGGGTAGGTAACGATGCCACTCCTTAGGTTTAAGGGAGCAAAGTTTCCTTAAAATGGCCTTGAGAATCGAATGCTGGCGCTCAATCCTCCCATTACAGCTGGGTTGATAGGGTGTGGTGAAGAGAGGCTTCACTCCCAGAAGTTGGTATAGATGTTGCATTAAGTCAGATGTGAATTGTGTCCCACGGTCTGGGAGAAGATGGACAAAAGGGCTTCAGCCACCTCTGTAGTGGTTATGGTCTTTAAGGTTATGGCTTCAGGGAAACTCGAAGCATAATCAACTAATGTTAATATATATCTATGTCCCCCAGATGAAAGTGGAGATAAAGGACCAACGATGTCAATAGCTACTCTTTCAAAAGGTACCGTAAAGACTGGCATTTTGACCATAGGTACTCGCCTGGTACCTCGGGAGGATGACAGTTGGCAAACTTTACACGATCTACAATAGGTAGTGACATCTGAGGACATTTTTGGCCAAAAATAGGTTTCCCTAATTTTATTTAAGGTTTTACGATGCGAGAAATGTCCGGCCACTGGCAGGTCATGAGCCATTGACTTGGAACAACTAAGATGGAATAGTCTGTCTCATCTGAATTTAATTTGAATACTGACTTGTACAAGATACCTTTTATACATTCAAATTTATATGAAAAGTTTTTCCTTTGGATAACTTGATTTTGTTTAGCGGCATTATGGCAATTCTGAAGAGAAGGGCAATTACGTTGTAAATTGACAAAGAAGTCCTTCGATATGTCTAAAGGCTTTAAGTCAGGGAAAATCAAAGGATGGATAGTAGGAGAATCCTGGGCTTTGGTCTGAGCCCTAGTCAAGACATTTATAGTATCGGAGGTGATATCTTCACTTTCATCTAATAAGTGAACCGGTGATCCTACTACCTCGCTTTCGAGAGTAGCATCACTGGTTTTTAATCCCACATGAATCTCACGAGACATTGTCTCATCTGAACTTTCGAGGGGCTTCTCTGACTCTACAGAAAGAGGATCTGAAACACCTATGTCCATCTTTGGTGATGAAAGGTCAACCTCAGAAGGAAGAATGGCACCTTTTACATTACCTATTAGTAAGGAACAAGAAGTAATGGGAGCTAGTACGGCTTCAGACCAACCTGTGAACCATTTAGACCTAATGTAACAACGGATGGTAGGAAAAGTGTCCGTACGGCCCAAGTAGTCTGAAAGTATAGCAGAGGAATGAGTTTCTTTAAGGTTAGGGAACAGCTTATCAGAAATGACTATACATGTGCATCCAGTGTCTCGTAAAATAGTAGATACATTAAGTCCATTAACTGTTCCTGAACAGAAGGGTGCTTGGTCATTACAGTCTTTAACATCTTCCAACTTTTTGGACCTTCTTAGAGGACATCTGGACGTTTATGTCCTTACACCACACAAATGACAAACAGGAATAAAAGAAGTCATTTTACTTTCCACTAGAGGCTTTGATTTCTTAAGGTCTGATGAACCCTTGCCCTTAGGGTTCGATCCCTTTAGGTCTTTATAGGAATTGTGAGCCTCAGCATA